ACAACTTAACTTGATGTATACAGACAGGTGGCATTAAGCTATACGGCTTCACTAGAAAACAAAATAATGCTTTCCACTCGTGGAATCTTTCCCCAACAACATAAAAGTATCACTTGGACTCCACAATGTGCAAAATTTTTAACATATGTAACACAAAATTGGAGACTGATGACTTCATTTTGAACCAATAGATGAAGGCAATACATACAAATACCTTGGTCTCCTTCAATCAAGACACATAAATCATAAAGACATCACAGAAAAGCCTATGACTACATTCATTCAGAAGCTTATTGGCATTTTAAAATCAAAGCTAAGTGGGAAAAACATGTTTAAATCAGTTAACTCAGTGAGGTTGTGCAGTGCCAAGAATGCTGGACTTGGAAACAAGAAATCCTGAGTTCAAATCTTGCTGCTGGCACTTGGTAACTGTGTGATGCTGGGCAAGTCATTTATTCTTCCTACCTTTAGTTTCTCTGTCTGTAAAATGGGCATGATAATACTAGCACTTAGCTCACAGGCTTGTCGTGAGGATCAAATATAAAGCACTTTGCAGAGCTTAAAAGAAATGCTAATTTGTATAATTATTATGATTAACACGAGCATGATGATACACGCTTTCTGAAATGCGAAATGACTGTGGCAGATTTGGAAAGTACTCTAACAAAAATCTGTACAGTATTAACAAAAGATAGATGTCATCACCCCAAGGCAGCTGTAAAAAGATGGACAATTCCATGACAAGAAGGAGGAGGAGGACTGAAAGACTGACTTTGAGTGTGTGATAAACGGGTCAAGAACTTTTAGAAAAAGCAGACCTCGCTCCAACGAGCAATCGCCAAGACTGATCACAAGATACCAGGTTTGTCCGACATGACTGAATATGCTGAGGCCCAGGCATGGAATCCAAGAGGCCTCCACAGATCATGTGTGCGTGAACTTGGCAACCCCACGTCCCAAAAGAATCAAGGAACTCATGTCTGAGTTGGGCAGATCTATTTGGGGAAACAGAGGGGCTCATGAGGGTAATTCAGGACCAGGTCAGAGTTCTCTTTATGGAGCCTGCACTCAGTGATCCATGGAGATTGTCCACAGAAATGGTAGAGATGGTGCCAACATCTCCAAGCAGGAGGAGTAAATTTAGCACCTACCAAGCACTTAACAAGACATGACCAGTGTTTAAAGTTATATATTACAGGGTTGCTATTTCTCATGGCCTTAAAGATAACAATACCTTCCTATAGATATGATCACACATAACCAATAAACTGCATTACAAGGGAACCATTATCACAGTCAGAGCTATTGCCCACAATCACATAGGCGTAACATTGATTTACAAAAAATTTAAGAGCAAAGCTTTTAATAGATGCCACTATACCATTACCTCCAAGCTTACATGCAAGGAAAAGCTTTTAAAGAATTTAAAAAATCTGATAGGGAAGATCAAAATCATGCAGTAATGAAATGAAGGACATGTCATCCCTGGTGTCCTGTGTACCATACAACTGGTGTTGTGCTGAGGGTACTTTCACTGAGTCTAAAGAAGTTGCATTTACATCCTGTTTTTTTTAACCAACTACAAAAGGCACTTACTTTATCCCTTGTGGAAAATCCTATAGAACATTAAACATAAAAGAATAATTGCAGGGCAGCAACTTTTTTCCAGATGTTTCTATATAAACTTCATCAAAAAGATGGTAAAAATAAGATGGTGATGGTGGTGATAATGAAGATGGTGATGGTGATGGTGATGATGATGGTGGTGGTGATGGTGATGGTGATGATGATGATGGTGGTGGTGGTGGTGGTGGTGGTGATGGTGATGATGATGGTGGTGGTGGTGGTGATGATGATGATGATGGTGGTGGTGGTGGTGATGGTGATGATGATGGTGGTGGTGGTGGTGATGGTGATGATGATGGTGGTGGTGGTGGTGATGGTGATGATGATGGTGGTGGTGGTGGTGATGGTGGTGGTGGTGGTGATGGTGGTGATGGTGGTGGTGGTGGTGATGGTGATGGTGGTGGTGGTGGTGGTGGTGATGGTGATGATGATGGTGGTGGTGGTGGTGATGGTGATGATGATGGTGGTGGTGGTGGTGATGGTGATGATGATGGTGGTGGTGGTGGTGATGGTGATGATGATGGTGGTGGTGGTGGTGATGGTGGTGGTGGTGGTGATGATGATGATGATGGTGGTGGTGGTGGTGATGATGATGATGATGGTGGTGGTGGTGGTGGTGATGGTGATAGTAACAGTAATACAACACAATATCGTAGGGTACTGGGGCGATCAGGTAGCACAGTGGACAGAGCACCAGGGCGGGAGTCAGGAAGATTCATCTTCCTGAGTTCAAATCAGGCCTCACACATTTACTAGCTATGTGACCCTGGGCAAGTCTCTTAACCTTGTTTGTCTCAGTTTCCTCATCTGTAAAATGAGCTGGAGAAGAAAATGGCAAGCCAATCCAGTATCTTTGCCAAAAAAAAAACCCCAAATGAGGTCATGAAGAGTCAGAAATGACTGAAACAATGTAACAGCATAATGTAGTAGATAAAGAGTTGGCCTTGGAATCAGGACGACCTGAGTTCAAATTTCGCCCCTGACACATATTGTCCGTATAAGCCTGGGCAAATTTCCTAGCTTCTCAGCATTTCCCAGCTATTCTCCAAGACCACAAATTAGGAAACAGTTTATGATGTGAATAGGTTACAGGGGCTTCCTTACCAGAGGCATCCAATGCTGAGGAAATCATAGGTTCATTTAGATTTTTAAAAATTAATACAATAGGAGGAATTTCTTTAGTAATTTAAGATTTGAGTAATGCTTTATGGCCATCCTATCTCTTGAGCCTCACAATAATCCTGTGATACAAGGGCTACAGAAATTAGGACCCTGATTTTACAGATGAGGAAATTGAGATAGGCAGAGGTGAAGTGACTTGCCTGAGGTCACACAGCTGGTCAGTGTTGCAGCTGGACTATGAACTAAGGTCCTCTTGACCTCTACACTGTGCTATGTTATGTGAGAAACAGTTTGGTGTTGTGGGTAGTGCTGAACGTGGAGTCAGGAAGATCTGGGTTTAAATTCCCAGCTCACATCCCTGCTAGCTCTGCCATCCCGGGTGAGCCCCTTGATCTCTTGATCTCCTGAGAGGAGAAGCAAGCCTCAGTCTTCCTCCCTCCCAAAGCGGGTGTGAGGAAAGTGCTTTACAGACCTCAGAGTACCCTCACAATGTGACTTGTTACTAAGTGGCAAAGCGGAAATGCAGACCCAAGTCTTCTGGCTCCAAGACCAGGGCTTCTTCCCTCTTCCCCCCACCCCAAACACACAACCATGTCCGCATGTGAATGGGAAGCAGCATGGGTAGGAGAACTTGACCCGACAGAGTCTAAAGTCATGGCTTCTAACCCACGGGGCTCTGCTGCTTTGTAACACCTCGATGAAGGGATAACTTTGATGGTCTCAGTTTCATTGCCTGAGGAATGGGGACAAGAACCCATGCTTTGCTTCCATAGTTAGGCTGAGTTCTACGAGCTCCAAGCCCCATACTCACCTCTTGGTGGGCTCTTGACCCCAGATTTCATTGCCATGGGGAAATTTTGAGGTGGAATCTGCCTCCACTTCTATAGATTGGCAACAAGTCTGGGACTTAATGTCTTAGAGAGTTGCTTAGGACTTGTCCAGGATCAGACAGCTGGGATGCATATATCCAGTGCAGGACTTGAACCTAGGTCTTCCTGACTGCCCAGCTGGCCCCTCTACCCAATGCACTACAGTGTCCCCCACCTCTCTCTTTTCCTATCTTCTTCTGTCTTCTTCTCTCTCTCCTTCCTTCTTGCTTTCTCTCTCTGTCTTCCTCTCTCTCCTTCTGTCTCTGTCTGTCTCTCTTAGTTGCTATTATAATTTTGACAAAACGCAAGCCTTTCTCGGTCTCCCCAACTGCCAGTATGCTCCTCTCAGACTGCTTTGCATGCATTTTCTGTTACTTATTTTGTATTTATCTCTACATAATTGTGTGTGTGTCCTCGTGTTCTCTCCCCCAGATCGGTAGTTCTTTGCCAGTAAAGAACATCTCATTCTTTGTACTTCCATCCCCAGTACCTGGCACGATCCCTGATACAGAGGAAGTGGTTCATTAATCCTTGCTGATGGGTTGTTTGACCCAATACACTGCACTAGGAGACAGAAGACCTGGATTCTAAACTTGGTTCTGCCACTGACTAATTGGGTCACTGGGCCAGTGATGGAATCTCTCTGGATACCAGTTCTGTCATTAATTCTGTAAAACAGGGACAATGAGCTACTGTCAAATCAGTCATTCCATTGCAGAGTTAGAACAGAACGTAGAGGTCATAAGATCACGGGTCCATGAGGTCCACGTGCTCGAAGGGCTTGGGAAGTCACCTATGCCAACCTCCCACTTTGGGCTTGGAGCGGGAATCCCAGAGACTGGATCTTCAAGCCAGAAAGGCCTTCCCAGCATCCAACCCCTTCTGGGGCAGGAATCCCCGGGACAACCCCCGTGACTAACTCGAGGTCAGATTCATCCGTGCCCCAGTTGTTTCATGGAGTTATTCTGAGGCCCAGATCAAACTACAGTATAAAGACCATTGAAGAGGCAAAGCACTGTACAAATAAATTTAGCCGTTCAACGTGCATATATTGGTTGTGCACTGTGTGCCAGGCCCCAAGTAAAGGATCGTTACTTCCAGACTCCTTGATTTTTGGAGTGTAGAAGCTTCTTCTACTGACAAAGATCAGAAGGCCTGGGTTCAAACTGTAGCTCTGTGCTTTGCTAGTTGTGTGACTTTGGGTAAGTCACTCCCCTGCCCTGGGCCTCTCTCCTCGATTACGAAATGAAGGGCTGGGCTGAATGACCTCTAAGCTCCCTTGTCGCTCTGAAATCTATGATTGGTGCTGTTTTCTGCATGGCTCATAGGTGTCAAGGGTATCGAAAGTTTACTCATTCCTTCTCTTCTTTTTCTTGGGCTTAGATGTGGATGAATGCCTGGATAACAATGGCGGGTGCCAGCAGATCTGTGTGAACACAATGGGAAGCTATGAGTGCCAGTGCCGGGAGGGCTTTTTCCTGAGTGATAACCAACACACCTGCATTCACCGCTCCAATGGTAAGTGCCTCGGAGGAAAGCCCCTCCTGCGCCTCTTCGTCGTCTCTCTTTTCAATCCTGGAGCTAAGATCGGGGACATGGAGGACTTGGGACAAGTCATGAGGGTTTTAATGCTGCAGAAACAGAAAGTGATGGGACATGGAATTCCAGCCTAAGTCCACCATCTTTGTTTTCTCTCCCCTTCCTCTCTACCTGGATTTACTGCTGGCAGAAATCGTGTTTGGAGAAGTGTTGGTGGAAGACCCTGGGAGCTCAGGGCTCTGCTGGCCTCGGAGTGCACAGCCCTGGTGGGGAACTGCTTCTATTGCATGCCTGACTCTCTAGGGCTCTGGAGGGAATGTAGGAAGAAAGCCAAATGAAACTTTCTCTCCTAAACAAGCTATACTGTTGGGATTAATAGTCTGCTGTGTAGCCTGGACTGGCTGAAGCCCTGTAGAGATGGGCCCCTGGCCCTGATTGGCATGAGAATAGGGCAGGATGCTGTGTGAGCGGAAAGAAGGGGACAGATACAATAGGTGTCGTGGAAGGAGCAATGAGGTTTGACGGCTGATTGTGAGTGGGGAGGGGGGTAAGGGAGAATGAGCCTTCAGAGATGATTGAGAGGTTGGGTATCTGAATGACTCAAGTACAGAGCTGCCCTCAACAGTAATAGGGAAGCTGGAAGGAGGGATGGCTTGGGGAAAAATAAAATAACGAGACCTTTGATGAAGATCACACCTCATCTATGTCTACTTATCCTATGCTATTTACTCTGTCCAATCCAAAGGAAAAGAGAGAAGAGAGGCTTTTACCTATGGCTGGTTTTGCAAATGGTTCTGGATGTGCCTTATTTCTCTGATCTCCTTGGGGTAGGTTCCCAGGCCCCTGTGCTCATGAGCCCCAGGAGGCAGGAGAAGAGTCGACAGAAAGTATAGATAAATCCTTCAGGGAAGGGTTGGAGCAGGGGGAGGGAGAAGATAACTAAGGATCATCAAATATGCCTGGGAGGACAACTTGCCCCTTCTGGCACTCAGGGCTGGAGGGCCCCTGGGACTGACCCAGGAGCATGAGCTCTGATTCAGACATTCTTTGGTCATTGAACTCACAGTTGGTTGTGTCCCTGACCTAGACTTGGGCAGGAAGTGGAGGAGACCAATGAAGGGCCATGGGGCAAAAGCAAAGGCTGGCAGGATCCTCTGATCCTGAGAAGCCTCGTGGGAGGGAAAGAGCAAAGAAGGAGGACTTGGAAGACCAGGGTCACTTGTGCGACCTTGTGTGGCCTCAGCTCCCTTTGTGTCCAGTGAGGGCATCAGAAGAGGTGACCTCCACGGCCCCTTCCAGCTTGGAGACCCTCTCATGGGAAGGTCGGCAGCCCAAAGGTGGAGTCCAGATCGTATGGAGCCTCCTCCGACTGGCCCAGCTCAGCTCTCGGTGCCCTCTCCCTCCTCAGACAGTGGATACTTGTGCCGTTCACTGGTCCGTAGCACGCTGCCTTATACTGTGGTTTGTGTTCAGATGTACCTGCTTCGTCCTTCTCCTCTGGGGGACTGTAAGACCCCTGGGGGCAGGACCACGTCTGCCGCTCTTTTGCTTCCTCCGAGCCTGGTTCAGGGTCCTACGCACAGGAGGTACCCAGGGTTTGATTCAATCCGAAAACATTTCTTAAGTGTCTATTGTGAACAGACCCCAGTGCTGGGAGCTGGGCCACAAGATGCAAAGACTCCAGGATTTGAAGGGTCTCCAATTTTGTCCATCGGGCGCTTTCTCCACCAAGGCAGATCACGGTGTCCTCTCTTGGCTTCATGGATCCTCAAGCCAACACATTTTTGGCTGTGGCCAAATAAATCAACCCTCCTGTCACCAGCCTGCTAATGACAAATAACCTTTGATGACTGACTGACTTTTGACTGACTAAATTTGAGAAAGAGGGAAGAGAGAGGGAAGATAAGCTCAAGGTTATGATCGTGGAATCTGGGTGAATGCTGGTACCTCGAGACAGAAGGAGAGTCAGAGGGAGGAGCAGATTGAGGGGCAAAGATGAGTTTGAGACAGGCTGAACGTGAGATTCCAGTGGGAGGTCCAGAAGGAGATAGATATGCCACGGATGGGCCAGTTGGACGTGCAGGTCCGAAGCTCAGGGGAGATGTCAGGGCTAGAGACGTGTGTCTGAAAGTCAGAGAGGGACAATGGTGTGACCAAAGGAAGGAAGGAAATAAGCACGTGTCAGGTACCTACGTGCCAGGCACTGTGCTAAGGTACTTTAAAGACATCTCATCTGATGCCCATGACAACCCTGGGAGGCAGGTGAGGAAACTGAGGTCACCCAGCCAGTAAGAGTCTGAGTCTGATTTTGAACTCAGGTCTTCCTGACTCCAGGCTTAGTGCTCTCTCTTTTGCACCACCTAGCTGAGTCTGATGGGTGAATGTGTGAAGGGGAAGCGAGTCCAGGCTGGAATGCTTACTTGGGGGCTACTTAGGATGGTTTGTACCCAAGCTCTCTGGCCAGGGACCTTATTCCCACTGGCTTCCAGGATCAGCAATCCTTTCGCATCTTAGCATTGACTTTGGGACACGGACTCTTCTCCCAAAAGGAAATCCTCCTTCCACTCCGTGGCCGGAGATTGCATTTGCCTGGGTGTGTGGACGCTCCCCAATCATGGGCCGCTGCACTCTTAGAGGTGGAGGGCACGCCAGAGATCCTTTTGTTCCAGTTTTGGCCTGGGCAAGTCATTTGTTTCTGTGAATCTCAGTTTCCTCATCTGCAAAATGGGGATAATAATCTCTGTAGCAGCTACCTCACAGGGAGCTGGGGATGAAATGAGATAATATCTGTAAAACGTTTCACAAACTTTAAAATGCTACAGAAAAGTCAGCTCGTTACTGTTACTGAAAATGTTGATGGTGATGATTATAAGAACATTAGCATGGGAAGGTTCCCTCCATATCCCCTCCGGCCTCTTCACTTTCCCAGTGCAATAAGCTGAGGGGGAGGGGCCTGGCCCAAGGTAACCAAGGTAACCAAGGTAACCAAGGCAACCAAGGTAACCAAGGCAACCAAGCCAGGATATAGCAAAGCCAGCTCTGCCCGTCCCAAACCCAGCGTCCACCCAGCCAGAGGGCCTCGATACCTTCTTTACTTAAAGGTGGCAAGAAAATAAATCAACTTTGTTAATGCAGTAGAAACCCCTTCATTAGAACCACTAAAGCTCGTTCTGAGTTTCCACAGGTTTGTTTAGAAAAGTTCAGAAATGAAAAAGATTTGCTTGAAATCAAACTTCTGGGAACCCCACGCTGCGGCCCCCCTTTCCCCTTTTCTGGCTGAATCCGAAGCTGAGAAACCCAATTCCTCGGCCTGGGTGGAGACAGAGCTGAGCCTTGCCTGGGAATGGTGTACTTAAAAGTCATTATCTCCAAGGCCTGCCAGTCATTTCACTCCAGATAAATCGTTCCTGGCCTATTTGGCGAATGGTGGTGGGGGCCTTAATGGAAACCACTTGGCTGGGCTGCCATTGTCATCCGGATTTCAGCTTGCATGTTATAAAAGTCCCCTGCTATAAAGGAAGGCCTTGGCGCTGTCCAAGAGGGAGCCCAGAGAAGACCAGACTGGATTTTATAGGGCCAGAGCAGATTGACGGAGAAAAGAGTAAGAGGGTTTTTGTGGCAGGAGTAGCCACATTCGGCAGCCACGGTGGGGTGGGGCGGAGAAGGTTGACAGATGCACGCATGGCATCACGTTTGGGAGGTTTTTTTGGTTTGAGCCAAGCACAGAGATAAGGAGTAAATAATACGCATGGCTGTCTTTAAAGGTGTTGGGTTCAATCCCAGCTCTGTTCTTTATGACCTGGGGAAGCCTGGGCAAGGCAGCCAGGACAATAATAACAAAAGTAGCTGACGTCTATAAAGCCCTTTTGGGTTTGCAAAGCATATCTCCTAATCCTCACAGAAAAATCCTCAGAGGTAAGCAGTGCAAGGATTCTTATCCCCACTTTATAGATGAGCAAACTGATGCCCAGAGGGTCAAAGAATCACAAGAGCACATATTTAGGAGTGACTGAGTCCAACCCGCTCATCTTATGGGTAAGGCAATTGAGAACGAGAGAGATGAAGCCACTTGCCCCCTGCCACATAGTAGCCTGTCAGAGGTAGGATCCGAACCCGGCACTTCCTGACTCAAAGCCCAGTGCCCCGGAAACTCCACCACTTTGCCTCTTCCTCTTGCCGAGGGGACACTCGGGCCCACAGAGGGGCAGTGATTTGCCCAAAGTCCAGGAGCCCCCAGCCTGCAGGGCCCCAGTCGGCTAATCAGTTGCTGAAGCCAGCCGGGAGCCTGGGTCTTCTAACTGCAAGACCCACATTTTCCCCATTATGCCATGCTACACCACGCATTGCCTCCAGAAATAGCTTCCCTGCTATAGTTCCTGCCACCAAGCCTGATATCCTCACTTGGGTCTTCACCTCTAAACTTTAGGTCAAAGAATCCAAGCATCTTTATCAAAGTAAAATAGCATTATCTGACAGGATTGTGTGACAGCCACCTGCAGCTGCTTGCCTCTTAACTCAAGGGAATTCATGTGCTAAGCCAGCGGAGATCACCAGTCACAGGCCCAGGATAGTGGGTCATGCCAGAGCTCTCCAGGGCCCCCTTTCCTGCACTCCCACAGCCCTCATCCCAGTGCAGGCCCAGCTGAGGCCAGCTCTCACCCAGACCATTTCATATCCTCCTGTCATCTTGCCTCAATGTCCCACCACTGCAATCCATCCTCCAGACAGCTGCCAAAGTGCAAGGTAGATCACAGTGACCCCATAGACTTAATAAACTCCACTAGCTGTTAACATAGGATCAGATAGAAACTCGGGGATTTGGAGCTCTTTTCAACCCCCTTCTGGCCTTCCTATATGAGACTCCTTCCCACACATTTATAGTCTAACCCCACTGGTCTGTTCTTCCCATTCCTTTGTTCTAGCCAACCACCGAGCCTGGAATTGTCTCCCTCCTCCCCTTCTCCTCTTAGAACACCCTG